TTAAAACATTCTAAACACAAATTGTTTTTTGAAAATTATATGAAGTAATTTATTGCGTCATGTGCGTCATTATTTTTTTTTTAAGAATTCTGAAAGCAATTGTTCTTAAAGTGATGCATATCATTGTTTAAAACAATACATAATAGGTAATTATCAGTAAGTTATTTTTAATTGCATATTAAAGTTTTAAAGTTATCCTTGATATATTTTGAGTGACAGTTGAATTTCAAAATGCTATTGTTTACTAAATATTCTCATAAGTATTTGTACTTATTTAAACTTATTTGCTTTAAATAATGATTTTCAGTTCCCTGTCAAAAGTTAAGTCTTATTTTAAGAGAATTTTTTCTTTTTCTCATTGTTTTGAAGTTGTGTCAGGAGAAATAGGAATGTATTAAAAAAATAATTTTTTGAACTCTGTTAAAAAGAAAACTAACATACGCTTACGTATTTCATTCACATTTACTGTAAAATAAACATAATTGGAAATAAAATATTCTACATTATTTATTTTTTTTATCAATCGGCATAAATATTTTCCTTTCGAAACTTTTCGCTTCCAGGTGAGAAAATCATCACAACTCAAAAACTTTTCTACAGAGCCTGCAAAATTAAAGCTTAAATAAAGAAAGAAAAAATAGAATACAACACGCTTTTGTATTAGTTAGAATCGAATTACTAATTTTGTATAATTATAACGCAATTACAACTTAAATGAAATGATTTAAACTCAAATTCATGTAATTTTGAGTTGTGGTATTATTTTGATAGAGATTTTTTTAAATAGAGATTTGTCTTTGTCATAAGAAAAAACATTTTTCGTTTTTTTTAACATTTTTTTATTGAAGTTTTTAACAATCTGAAATTAAGAGAATATAGTGTGCTTCAATTATCACCTATGGTATATGGCTATCTTGCTTTGAAAAGTTCTTTCTTATATAAATTTCTGATACTAATTCTATTATACAAAGATTTTTTGATTTGCCCCATAAGAAAATGCTTAGCAATAATGCCCAATAAAAACTTTTCATGTTTTTAACTTATGGTAAATCTGCAAACTCTGAGAATAAATTTATACATTCTTTTACAAGAATTGCGAGGATTTTTTTTTAAAATAATTAAGAGTTCTGTAAAAACTAATGCTATTGGATATAGTTAAAAAAATCTTTGTCTTGCTCACGCTTAAATCTAAAGCTATGTGACCTTCGGCACGTGTCTCGTTAGCTTATTTGACAACGCTTCTGTATAGGAACTTACTGATTTCAGGTTCGATCCTCAGTCAAAAATCATGAAACGTGTATTTTTAAATTATTTTTTTAAAAATTTCTAGAATCTTCTAGATCATACTGATGTCATTTCCTCTTCCACTTGAAAGCAATTGCTTAAACGAAAAAAATTTAACTATCGCAAACGTTTGTTGCTTGTGGACATTGCTAAATAAATAACTATTCTTCACAGTATGTATTCATTTCTGAATGATAACAAAAAGTAAGATCACATTTTTTTTAAATAAGTTGAATAATAATTTGAAATACTAAATTAATTCAAATCTATAACGTTGTAAATTTTAGAGGTTATCATGCAATTACTTTCAAAGTGAGCTAGAAATAAATTTTTCAAATTAATTTCTTCTCACTCTTAAACAATTCTATTTTTTTATGTGTTAGAAAATAATTTTTGTTTATGAAATATTGATTTTTTTTAAATATCAGATACAGTTTTTATCTGTCTGCTTTATTTTGTTGATGTTTGTTTACTATCATCAATACACTATATTCATATCAATATGAAATAAATCTAAGATATTTTTTAATTTACATAAGAACTTGAATGTAAGTACCTTAAGTTGCAAAGATATTTGATTTTAGTACTTGGTTAATAATTTTAGCTGTTTATTAAATATATTTTTATATTACTTAATTTAGTTGTAGACGACTTGTTTTTCATCTTTTGATGAACGTTTTCTTTTTAGCGACACGTGATAATACCGCTTTAAGCAATGATAATGAATTTTCATGCTGCATTAATTCTACATCAGGCTATATATTTAACTTTAATCTATTACATATTAATCAAAAACTTGATTTATTTAGGTAAGTGACCTCTTGGTTTCAACCAGATCAGAATTTATTTGTTTTCCTCAAAATTTTCTGATATTAAAAGAATAAAATTTCGAAAAAAATTATTTAGTTAAGTTGCCTTTCACTGACAATGCAAAGATTATTACTGTCATACTTTTTTTGTAACATATATATAGATATATTTTTATAAGTTATGAGCTTTTGAGATGCACGCGTTATGTTAAGGTTAAATTATTTTAATAAAATTAAGTGTTTTTGTTATGCTCAGTTTTATGTTGAAGAACGTATTTATGTAATCTAACATTAAAGCAATATTTTTCTGTCATGAGAACTAATTTTATCTCTAATAGAAGCCTTTAGAAAAAAGTTACGCCTGTATAGTTTTTTCTTAAGCTCTATAGTTAAAGTTCTTACGAGAGACATTTTCAAAAGCGTTTTTGTACTAATTTTGTAAGCTTTAAGAAACTTTTATGCATTGTGTTTTATTACGTGTGTATTTGATTTATTGTGTATTTGATTTAAAATGTGTAGTAAATAGCTAGAAACAATGATAGGAAACATTTTGTTGTAAAAATACGGCTTATCATTATATTGCGGCACACTGCTACCGTCATGAGACTCTAGTGGCAGTTAGTAGCCAGCATCAGAACGAGATTACACGAGCCTAACTAAGAAGTAAAAGCACATGATGCCCTTTTTTTAATTAATTATATTAAAATTGAATTTAATTGCCAAGCTGAATTTAATGGCCCTAATTTTTGCCAAGCTGATGTGAATTTAATTTGCTGTTAGACAATTTGTGTCTAAATAATAGTGGAGTTTTAAAGGGACAAACTTCAGGCTATAAATTTGCGTTTTGGATCAAAAATTAAATAAAAATATATTAATACATTCAGTGCTAATTAATAATTCTTTTATCAACTTTTCTTTTGCGGTTAATCAGTATTTTTGCCAGTATTTTATGCTTGTACAAAGCTCTAAAATAAATATAATTTCATATCTACTACAACCAGTATTGTTATGAAGTTTGTTCGGTTATATTCGCGCTTCATTAGCTCTGTTGGTTGAACGTCGATATAGGTGAAGATCCTGGGTTCGATAAATACCTACGTTCGTTACGTTGTTACGTTGGACAATTAAATTGATCCGTGCTGAGATCTTCTCTCTTCTAGGAAGTGTTGGTTCGATCCCCTCATGGGTATAAACAGCCTCAAAAATGTGATCACGGTTCATAATTTTGACAGGGTTCGTTGCTGAGGTTGATCAATGTATCTTTTTGCTCAGAACTTAAATAATTATGCAATGCAGAAAAGTAAATTTAGGCGAGATTTTCTCCCAACTACATGCAATATAAATAGGTCTGATCACAAATAGAGGTTTACATGTCAGTATCAATTTAAAAATTTAGAAAATATTTTGGGAAAAAATAAAGCTCAATTTAGAAAAGAAAAAAAAACTTGATGAATCATAAGATAAAAAATAATTTAAAAAATGTAAAAAATTAAAAAAAAAATTTATTACTCTGCATGAAAAAGTAAGAAAAAAAATATTGGGGGTACCATATAAGAATCGACACGATATAGTCTGAGTTTATTTTTCAGACATTACGTTCATTTTATTTGAATTTTGTTTTATTTTAATTATATATGAAGCAGCTGAAAAGTCGGTAGATTTCGAAAAACAATAATATCAGAAAAACTGCCAACTTTCTATCTGCTTTCTTTAAAAATATTATTAAAAATTTTTACAACACATTGTAAGATAAAACTGATATAAAGTGAACATAATATCGATAAATTAACTGAGACTATGTGAACTTGATTCCTTTAATTTTAATTTTTTCTATTTTTCAGGTAGAATCATTAAATTTTTTATAATTTTTTTAATTATTTTATTGAGCTTACAAATTGTCCAATTGCTATACTGAAGCGATGTAAACTTTAAAAAATAAAGCTGTTTTTTTTCTTTTTAAGTAGTTAAAAATTGTGAACGCATAATAATCACCATTTCTGTTTTGCAACAGGATATTTACTGAAAGGAACAGCATTATCTTACCATGTTTCTAATGAACTAATAAAAAAATCTAATGAAATAAAAGCGAAGAAGCAAAAAAAAATATTTAAAAAAATTTTTTTAAACGTTTATTACTAAAAAGTAAATCATTTTTGAATGAAAAAAATTTTTTTTTAATAGTTTAATAATTATTTTAACAAGTGCTAAGAGAATTTAAGCTGTGATAGAGATAGAGTGTATTTTAAAGAAATTATAATTTAATATAAAATTTCAAAGAATTCATTAAAATATGAATAAATTATCTACATGCATTGTTAGATATTGTGTATAAAAGCTAAACAGGTAAGTAATGTGAAAAAAAAAATTCAATACAAATTTTCAGGAATAAAAACAAAATTATCTATGATAAAGCTAATTTTATTTTTAATATATAAAATTAGCTATAGCTAACTTTATATTATTCGCTTTTGATTTGAAATATTTTTTTTCATTTAACCTCTTTTATGAATTAAAAAAATCCAAAATTGCATATGTGTACTTTTTTTTCTTCTCTCTTTTTTATGCATAATTTTTCTTTAAGCTTATAACTTAGCTGAGAATGACCATTTTTTCTTAGTTCATTTTCCATGTTTTTTTTTCTCTTAAGAGCCTAAATTATTTTAATAATATCTTTAATAAATTATCTAAACAAGTTCTAAAAGAATGTAAGAATGCATAATATCGGTAGAACATTTTTTGAGGCATAGTAAATTAAAAACTATGTAATTAGAAATCTGGCTATGTAAAAAAACCTTACTCATTTGCTAATTTTCAACCTCGTGGGCTTTCTAGTTTATTGTAGCACCTCTAAAAATTTCCTGCATTTTTTTTCCTTGCCGTGAGAATCAATCTCATCTTTAATAGCCGGTCTCACAAAAAAAAGATGTTTTTCTTGTATGCCTGTTGGACCGCTTGGCGTCGCTGCTCTACAGTGGATCAAGTTTTCATCCTAACTGGGATCCTCTCTGCGAAAATAAATCTATATTCCTAAACCGGACTTTATTTTCGTTTATTGATTTAAAGAGGAAAAAAAATACAATCTACTCAATTACTACATTCAGCAACTTTACGATGCATATTCTCATTCTATTTTATGCATCAAAGATTCATTCTTTAAAAAGAAGCAGACAATTTCGAAGGCAGTAGGAATAAACATCTCCGCTCTGTTCAATTGGAATTAAAGACTGGTTAATTTGTTTACCGAGAGAGGGCGCTGCTTATCCAGCTTTTGCGTCTCCGTGAAGTCAACTTCTCCGCAACATTAGTTGAGGGCCGCACGCAAAAGCGGCAAAGTAAGGAAGCTCATAACAGAAGTGAACCGCGTCTGGGCTATTCCAGCTGCATAAGGAATAAAATCCGCTAGAGGTTCCCCCTATTCATCCATCTCTCTCGGTGTGTGATCCGTTTTATTAATAAAACGAATGCATAAAAAAAAAGGAAAAACTGATCCTCGTTCCTGACCTTATGTAAACAAATCAAAAGGCCACTGGATTGATTACAAAGGATTCTGTGTTTGTTACTTTATATAAGTGAAACGGAAAAAAAATGTTGATAGATATTATTTGTCTATATGACATCGTACAACTTTAGGCTGCAGTAGAGGATTTTTCAGAATTTCTTCTGTATGTAAATTTTTCATAAAACTTCATTCCTTACATGGAACATTGATGATTTTGCATCAAAATGTGGAAAGTGATATTATGGAGGTGTTTTTTAGTCATCGCTATAGACATCATAGGAATAAAAGGTTAGTTTTTATTTATTATTTCCTTTAAATTTAATTTAAATTTTCAAAACTCAATTATATATATTTCAAATTATTATTTTAAGTGATTGTTAATAAATCGAGTCATCTATATTTCCGGACGGTTTCAACAATTATGCAATAACTATGTATATATATATATATATNGTAGCTGGGATTACAGGCATATATATATATATATATATATGTGTGTGTGTGTGCGTGTGTAAATAATGAAAATAATGTGTAAGATTAAATGTTTCGTAGAAAAATTTTCTGCCTATGAGAACTTGAAATCGGTTCAAATTTTTTCTCTTGATTATATTTCTAAGACAAGTTATTTGCATATCAAGTGAAATAAATAAAGTAAATGACATTTAAAATTATATTGGTTGTTGGAATATAAATGCGTTAACGAATATTGGCAAAAGATTTTATTGCTAAATATAAATTTTTTAGTAAATCGAATATTAAATTTTTTTTTAAAAAATTCTCTATTAAATTGCTTATAAAAGCATTTATAATAAGTGGACAGTTTAAATTCAAAAGCGTTTAAAGGATTCACGATTTTTTTATAAAATTTTCGGAATTTCATAGAACAATTTATTATTCATTCAAACATAAACGATATAGTTAAATCCACGATTTCTGAAATTTCCATTTAATTTCATATGTTTATTTTTTGATCATATACTATTCATTTTATGTATACTTTTATCGAATTTACTAAACTTCTGCCGCATATTTGTAAACTGCTTTACCAGTGAACTACATCAATATTTTATTTAAAGATTAAAATTATTTAGTCAAAACTTAAAACACAACTCATAGTAAGAGATCAAAATGTTTCCTCAGACTAATGTTGTTTAGATAAGTTTATTTTGCCATTAATTCTATAATTAAATAAAACTGATGTTTCCATCCCATATCTAAATTTTATTTTTGAGATATCTATCTTATCATTCTATGATAATTATACAAGTTTTTACATAATGTAACGTTTAACAAAAATTATATATATATATAAGATTTTAAAGATCTTATAAAACACGTATTCAACAATCAATACCAAAATTTTTTGAAATTTTAATTAATTATTTTTGAATAATAAAATATTAATGAAATGCGCTAATTATTCTTATTTACGTATATTTTTCAATAAAATTTAAGTACAAATTAAAATTATTTTTATTATTAACGTCATAATTGTTGGAATTTTTCTGCTTTGATAGTGCGGCATTGAAAGTTTGCATTTGTACTGTTGAAAAAAGCTAAATAAAATTTCAAAAATATAAAATAAAAGTAGGTTATATAAAATAGTAAACTTAATTTATAAACTAACAAACATGATAGAACAATATGAAGCAAGAGCAATAAAAATTTAACTGAAAAATTAAAAAAGTAATTAAATTCAATGTGTTCTTAAACTACAGCACATTCAGTTATAAAGTTCTCTTTCGCTCTTTTGTCACCAAAGATCCTATAAGAAAATTAGGTATTCCATTATTCATTTTTGTGGGAGAGGAAAATATTCCATTCCCCGCAAAATGGTAAAAAAAACGGTAAAATTCTCCTAAATATAGGGTGGGTGGTGAGTCGTGATATGCGGCTATCCTCTGCGCAAGATACTCCGGGAAATTGTATAAAGGATCGTTCTGTTTCCTTCCGTATCTTGTCCCCCCATTCTTCCCCTCTGTCAGAAATAGGGGTTCGGAAAATAAGAGTAGTGAAAGCCTGACCTTTGCAGAAGGGTTTACTTCCCCCCCTTCATTTTCCATCCACTCCCCCACACTGTTGCATCGTATCTTTCGCCAGTAAGGAAAAAAAATCTTCGTCTAGAAATGCTATCAGCCTTAAGGAAGATGGTTTAAATTTTTAATTCAATCCAATCTGACAAAGTGAGTTTAATGATAAGTCTTTTTTTTCCAGACAACTTGGCAGCTTTTTTACTTGTTTATTTCTTTTTCAATTAAAAAAGAGATGGCTTATTCAAGAAAGAAATCGATGGAAAAATTTAAGCGATATCTGAATTTTTCCCTGAATGTTGAAATTTGCTGCAAATATGAACAAAGCTAGATTTTTAATTAAAAAAAAAATACGTATTCATCAATCACAAAAATACGCTAAGGACTGTGGATATCATATTTAGTCTCTATATCATTCATTTTCCATTACGTGGTTTGAACTTTCCGTTTCGTAAAGGCACGTAAGAAATATTTTGATTTTAAAAGTAATTGATGTGTAAAAATTGAGTTTATAACATCTGGGAAATTTTTAAATAAACTAATCGTTATTTTCTTTCGTATGGAAAAAAAATTCTAAAATATAAGTATCGTTAGAGATTCATCTCGATAAGTGACAAAAATAATTAAAAAATTATGGATTGAGCAAAAAAAGACAATAGAAAACATTTCAAACCATATAGGAACAATTTCTCACTAAATAAATATGATTAGTTCAGTAAATTAACTTATAAACAAGATAAATTCCTTCATTGATAAAGAAAATCATGATTTTTAAGGATATTTACTTTGAGGCGAAATAAAGATAACTGATTGATTCGATAAAATTTTTTAAAAAAAGGAGAAAAAGAAAATGAGCGAAAAGAAGTAGCATGTTTTGTTTTTGATACTGCTCTAGTCCTGAACTAACCTCAGTTTTTGATGAAAAATTTTTTAAGATAAAATTATGGCTCATGGTATTGGGCTGATCAATGCAGATTTTCTTTCCAGATGATACACTCAAATATTAGTTTATGTAATCAAAAAATATTCTTTAAGGAAAAAAAAGTTTAACTATTTTTTTATCATTTAAGTGTTAACGTATATTCCTAATTTAAGGATATCTTGTTTTAAGTGTTTAATCCAGGTTCGGCTTAACCAATACCTCCTACAACAGATAAGGCTTTAGCACTGGTAACCATGAACAAGAAATTTGATCATTTAGTAGTCCAAACGTAGTGACATTTTTAATTATCACCACGACATAGCTCAGTATCCTGAAGGTAGTGACATCTTTCTTAAATTTCATCCACTGCGCAGTTTATGTTCGTTATGTCGGACTACTAAATTAATCCTTGATGAGGCTTTCTTTCTTCTAGGAAGTGTTGATTTAACCCAGTCAGTCTTTTAGCAATTATATTTTTGTCGACAAGTGCAAATGTTTTAAAATTATCCTGTTCGTTTTGAAAAGGTATACAAAATTTAAATGAACGGATTTTGAAGATACATCAAAAATAATGACACTCAGTTTAGAAGCAATTTTAAAATGAGAAACCTATTTTTTCAGCAGCGAAAATTGCAGTTTACCTTTTGCCGTAAAAGAGAGACTGATGTCTGGAAACTGAAACTGTTCTAGATAGTAACTATACTATTACCATACAAATAACCAAAAACTCCTTTTCCTTCCATGAATTAACAATGATGCGAAATATGTTCTTTATTCACACAAATAACGAGATGCTTTTAGTTGTTGAACATCATTTAAAAGTTGAAAAAGTATTCAAAATCGGATTTCTCAGCATGTGCAAAAAGTCACTTTCCTGACTTAAGAAATTCCGAACGAAATAAACAGAAAAAACTTGTTTCTTTTTTTTATTATTATTTCACCAGGTAACCGTCTCATCGTAGATGTCTTCGCCTGAAGCTATTTCTCACATCTGCCACTGGATTTGCTAGTGCCACGCGAGGGCTTTTTTAAACTTTTATTTTTCTCCCCTCCTGTCTTTTATACTTAGGAAATCTCAACTTTCACTAGAATATTTATGATTCTTGGCGCTTTCACCCATAAAGTTAAAAATCGTGAATTTCAATGCATTTTTTTCACCAGCCTGTTTACTACTTAATTTCTTAATGCAATATTCTCAGGTTTTTTTTAATCATGCTTGATTTACTTTCATTAATATTACATTAAATAATAGCATATTTTGATGATGTAATAAAATACGAAGAATTAGTAGCAGCTAATTTTTTTTTTCATTTTCTATTGTGTAGATGTTTTGAGAAGTTTTTTAATTAATATTTATTATTTTAAAGAACGATAATACACGGTAATTGAATCAGTTAAGAGTTTAATTACACGTATATTTTTTAAGACTACTTAAATTCATTCCCAAAAATTCTTTTATTTGAAAAAAGAATAATTAAAAGAATAAAGTTGTTGGTTAAACGGTTTAAATGTTAATCTTGACATCGAAAGTTTCATTGATTTCTTATGTTTTCTTCATTTTTTATATCAATTCATAAAAATGATCAAATAAGATATGTAAACGCAATTTCATTCCTGTATTCCTTCATGAAAAAAAATCATATTGTATACGATACTCAATGTTATACTTATGTAACGAGTATTTTTCTTCATGACTAAGTCAACTTTTGGATCAGTTTTTTCGCTTCATAGCAAAAGTTCTAAATAGCTATTTTGGACTAAAATTATATTTCTACAATTTAAAAACATGAATATAACTTAAATACTTTTTAAAATCAAAATACAATATGTATTGTGAAACTTGATTTTTTTTGAAATCCGCTCAAGACATCTTACATTTTTACGTAAAAATTAACTTATTTATTTTGATTCTTACAGGTTACAGGATTGTAAAATCACGCGTATATTTTATTCATTCAAAAGAATTTGAAATGGACAAGCAACATTCCGTTAAATTATCACTTTTGCAAAGAAAACAGTTCTTTTATTGCACTTAAAAGTTTTAGTTTGATGCTAGTATTATAATCGTTCCGAAGCTCTTAAGAATTCACTTTCAAGATTATATTTTAAACAAATGCATATTTTTCAATTGTATGGGAATGGGAGTTAGAAATTTCTAGATAAAACACTGAGTCACATGCAATTATAGTCTTGCCAATTATAAAATACAATTAAAGAATGATATCATATTAATGTAATAAAGAATAAAAGATATTTGGAAATTCCAATATTCTCTTATTCCTTTTTCATTGCGTGCAATCCCTTTCAAATCCGCGTCCTCAGCGCATCAAAATACA